ACTCAAGCCTGCTAGCGATCTCCACTGGCCAGCTGTAGTCGTGATCACGCCGGCCGCGTAGCAACCCGTGTCATGATGACGAACTGATTTCATCAGTTTTCCGCGTGACTTACCGCAGGCCCACTTCACGTCTCCAAACCGTGACACTGAGTTCTTTCGCTGCAGCTCTTCTTTCCCAAAGCGTTCTCAGCGCCTTTCATGATGCTTTGGCTTCAAAACCCAAGGATTCCTCATTCTCATCCGCTGAAACTCTCTAGGTGCGCATTCGCTGCACCCTGCACAAATCTACTGTCATAAGCAATGGTTTCACTACAAATGCTGTCAACCACTATAGCTTGACACGGCAGACACAGGCTCTTGCATTTGTAGAACGGTCCTCGACGATTTCTATTACGATTCACTAGGCCAAGATACAAGCGCTAAACTCAGTTAGCTCTATTGAGCGGACGACAACGTAGATTGGACTATCGTACTGGTGAAGTGGAACATACGGTCGTTCATGAAAAGTCCCGTAAACTTCCCCTTCTCTCCAGATCCACTAAAGTACCAAAAGCAGTCTGCAAGCGAGGTTTCTGTGAAACCGACGGTGGGCCGATTCGTGATCGGCAACTTCCATTCGCACTTCGGACTGACCACTCCGAACAGCTGTACAACTGACCATTAACACCATCGGGTTCTTCTTCATAGATCCACAACGCTCCTTGGTCTGTTGATGCCTCACCATCACCTCAGGCTGCGAGTTTCACCTGCTGAAATGCCACAAACTCCCTAATCCACAGATGGAGGTCCATCCTTCATCCATGAACTAGCTTCTCCAAGAGTGTTGGCTCCCGGAAGTTAATAATAAATAATAATAATAATGTGTCAGCTGTACGCCGTAACGGCGCTTCGCTGCCGACCACCACCAGTCGCGTGCGGGCTGAGTATACCGCGAGGACGCCCACCCCTACGCGGATTCGAACCGGTGACCTTATGGTTGTAAATCAAACGTGCAGACCACTCGGCCACCGGCCGACACGGAAGTTAACCCGCCCGATTGGAATTTGCCTCATGTGTTGCATCCTAAGTGTTTGTTCCTCTATCTTTGCAGGGGCTTAGTATGCTAAGTATATGTAATAGCAACTGTCCACAATAGAAATACAGCCATTAGGAATTGTTTATGAATGTAAGAATGGCGTGTGATCGCGGTGCCTAAGTGGTGATGAACGTAGGAGCAGTAGAAATTGACGTAGCAGTAGTAGTTGCGGAATCCATGATCCTGTCAGCGAGTGAGATGCTACCGGGTTACCCCAACCGAGGTAGGGAGATATCTTAGGGGACACCACCCTGAGTCTTTGGCTAAATAGCCTACCCGCAAGGCAGCGGAGCGAATACAGGGAACCGCGCTCATTGGGAGCCGGTGACCGAGTACTCGTTTGGTCTGTTGCCAAACGGAAGCCCGATTCTTCCCACATTTTCAGCATCGGATTGCTGGAATACCATGCTCCATCAGAGTGAAGCAAGGAACAGTGACTTTATTTAGTAGCAAGTCACATCCGCCACGTCACAGTGTTGTCAAACGGACATATGTGACCTTTTATAGGGAGAACGCTTGCCAGGCGAAAACCCGCCACCTTCTGGAACATTACAGTCGAACAATTGACCGGGACTGGATAATGCCGGACCGCCCAGGTGATGCCATGAGGAGGCGGTTCTGCGAGCCAGCCGAACTACCTTTTGGTTTAGATCGGGGACCTATTGGTTATTATTTTTAAGACCGGCCATTTGTTAAGTCGCTATCAAACATTCGGTCGACCACTCTTTGTTGCCTCCTTAAACATGTGAGTCGCATGTGTCTTAGTTGACAAACTACTCTATGGAGTTGTTTGTTTAGCAAAGGAGGTCTCGAGAAGTATGCCAGCATTTTTCGTGGTGATTTATTCTCAAATCCCTTGCTGGGTGTAGTTTGTGGCGAAATTTCGTCCCCTCCCATATTCACATTGGTATGAGATACGCTTGCTCTGAAACAACCTTTCAATTCCATTTCGATGTGGATGCCATCCAGAATAGCACTTTGATGAATTACCATTATTTTCGATAACCGACCTCGTTTCTTGGCGTATGCTGGCATTGCAATGACTAACTTCTCACTGGCCGCCTACAATAAGCTGTGTAGTTTGTTAATATCTGCCTTGGTGTTCGGAATCACCGTAGCCCCCTAGAATTGTGAGCTCTTTCTAAAGAACTGGCCAGCTGCTTCTGCTACACTCACCGTATCGGACCACCCGTCGGAAGTGACCCCCAAGTTCGCCTACCTCTAGAATTACCTTCTCTCTGACAAGATCTCTACTCATTTCCAAGGTTTCGGGTGCTTATGTCATGCTCCACCATTTCTGGCGCCAACCTGCCAGTAACCTGTTAGCCCGACTTTACAATTTGATTGTACGAGTGTTTGTGCTCTGCAGTTACGAGACTTGGCCTTTACGTGTGTTGGATTGTTTAGCTACCGTCTGTTTTTAAACACCCCTGCTTTCGGAGCACTATTGAAATACACTGGTAGCATCCTGTTAGTCGTGATAACGTTAGTCAACGGATTTTCATGTCAAACCTCTACCGACCGCTGAGGTGCGTATATTCACTGCACAGAATTCGGTGGTTTGGGCACGTACTTCTCATGCGTACTAAACAATTATATTGCTGCGTCTTCCTTGTGCGTGTTGGCGTTGACTGTAAGCTACAGTGGGATGGCTGACGCGTAGGTTGAATTCGAAATGGGAATGTACTGGCTCCAAAATTGGCCTGTTATGCACTGCATTCTTGCGAGTTGGTGCCTCAAGCACCACCGACACTTGTAGCTGCGAAGTAAGACGTCTTCTTTCTATGAAAGTCACACCTACTGATGGCATGCCGAGAGACCGCAGCCATATACTCACAGCCGTACAGTCTCTTTCTGTCCACTATATTGTCTTCGTGCCCATCTGTTGTGGTCATCCGCCAATTGCATTGTTATTGATGCACCTCAATGCACGGAGTAGCTGAACGGAACTGGATCGCAGACGAGTTTTTCGTAAGATGAAACGAATTGTTGAACTGAGGCCGAGGGGATTAAGGGGATACACGAACTTTGAGGTTCGTTCGGGTACTGTCAATCGTACACATTCGTTCCTTCGCGCCTGGTCATATCATTTGCGAATGGTTTACATTCATTGCCATGGTCATCCCTCGACCCACTCCACGGCTACCACCGTTTTATCTTCTTCTTCATCACTTCCATGACCATTCACAGACGCGCTGCACTCTGATAGCAAGCAGTATGTGAAATGTCAGTTCCAACTCTCCAATCAATCTTTAACTTTTGGTTGGTTGAAGGATCAAGACGAACAAACAGCACCATGCGCTCACTCACATGAGCCGATCGCAACTGACATCGCTTTTTACCTCTGCCCACAACACACGAATGCTATTCTGTAGGCAGCTAGAGGTCATCATCATCACTATACACGTCAGTTAGAGGTGGAAAACACCTCAGCTACTGTGCCGCAATACATAAAGGAAAAGGAAAATAAATACAACAGTTGCATGCCAGCTGAGCTACCAGCAATGGATAGGCATCGTTCCGGTAAGCTACCAGCCGCCTACTAGGCAAAAAGACAAGTTATTACGTTTTACGCTACGAAATGAGATCGTGGATGGAGGGTGAGGCTAAAATGGATGGGGAGGGACAAAGAAACTCACAGCAGAACGCCACTGAGGTCGGCTCCTTGCCATGTCAGCAAGTGCATCCAGCCAAACTTGTTCACCGTGTTTTGGACCCCAACCAGGGAGCCGTGACGCTCCAACCGAGGCCAGCTCAGAAGTGAGGGCGTTCCATTCCTCTCGATCAAGTCATCGCTTGGCCACCCCTCTTCTTCCATCTACATCCCCGGTGAGCAAACAACACAAGTCATGGAAGTCGGTGGGCTGGCATGCGCAACACGTGGCCCGGCCATCGGAGCCTGGTGCGTGAAATGACGGTGCTTAGCGGTTCAGTTCCTTTCCCGTGCCATAAACAAGGTGTCGAACACGCTCGTTACTCACGCGGTGTTCCCACCAGATGTGAGCCAAACTGCGAAGGCACCGATGGTCGAACGTAACTAGCCTCTTCATGTCCGCCGATCTTAGGTGCCAGGTTTCGCAACCGTACAGAGGTCAGTGCATTCCAGTTACAAACACAGGGCAGCGGTTATCTGACGCGCACCTTGGCGCCCACCCCCATCACATTTAGAAGAAACCTAACATTAGCAGTTACCTCACATTGCTATCTGACACTGAAATTAAATGTATCAGAGGGACTCGCTTAAAACTACCGGTGACATTTCGTAGTCACGATAGAGCAAAAACTGACCATGCGCTTCCGCCTAGATGACAAGTTATTTTGCTGAAAATCCGATCATATAGGCAGATGTTGACCGTCGGCACTGTTTCCAGACTAGTTGTCACTCTAAACAGCACACACACGCTGTCCACCAACCCAACTGAGCAGAAATTCTTTATCTTTCATTTGTTATTTTCGTCGATAAGTACAGCAAATCTGGAATTTACACTGCGTCTTGCCCTATTTGTTTGTCTAAATGATTTAGCCACGTGACTTTGCTCTTTTTTAGGAGCTTCCATTCAATTATCTAACACAATCCAAGCAACGGTGTTCACTTTGCCAATTAGTGTTTGTCTTCTGAGGCACTTTGTCTGCTGTTCAGAATTTTACCGACGTTTCATACTGTTCTGTTGTCATGAAGTTGGGTGATCACACCAACCTCACCGTGCTTTGAAACACGATTTGACTTAATGTGGTGACAGACAGGTGAACCGGCAGCTGAGGATCGAAACACACAGTTCAAACACCTTCAGCTATGTCGCGAGAGTGTCTATCATCAGTTCTTATTGTGATCTCGTATTTTGTCAAGTTTGACCTCATACCAAAGACCGTAAACTCTTGCATCCTCCAATCTCTAACATATACGCCTTCTCTCCTCATCCCCCAGAATCAGGCAGTTGGCCCAAAACACGCGCTACTTTCGAGCTCGGTTGCACGAAATGCGCTTGCTGGTTTATGGGAATCGAGACAGTCCTGTGGTGCCCGTCATCGTGTCGGTTCCGGCGAAGCTCATAGTTCTGTCTCGCAAGTGCTTAGAAGCTGGCTTGGGCACTGTGATTGTCGGATTTCCGGCCACGTCGTTATTGTTATCCCGAGCTCGGTTCTGCATCTCCTCAATGCACACTCGCGAAATGCTAGATAAAGTAAGTCGCCTCCTCTTCCCATGCACAACTCTATTTTGTCATGCCGTTGTGCTCATCCACTGTCTTCCCATTCTCATTTAGGCTGACTTTCGTGCGTCATCGACCACTTCCTCAAACTTTAAGTTTCTACTGGATTTCTCACAATCCAGTGGACGATTATACCTGTAGGCTGAAATCCAGGGGCTAGTAATTCCCTATTATAGTATACGGCTGGTGAAGGGTTCCGAGAGCTTCCTTGTCTAGGGCGTACGTGTGTCGTGATAGGCCGAGTGGACTGGAAGACAAAACAGGTACTTCGTAGGCGGCTGGATAAAGCGTGAGTCCGATTTACACCTCGTGGCGTGCTGGTTGCCGTTGTCACAGCTTCTGATGGAGGACCGAGTCTGAGGACTCGAGGAATCATTAACTCACCCACGAGTAGACAACGACAGTGACTCTTATGGTTTGCGACGCAAGCAGCTCTCTCAGTCTGATCTGGACAGAGAGTTACACCGACTCACACTGACCATCGACACTTCGGTAGATGCTCACGTGTCTCCCCACCCATTAAGGACCGAATGTATTGCGGCATAACACCGCGGTCGTTCGGTGGTCTACTACAGCGGAATCATAAGTAGTCACTGAGCTCGACTCCTCAGACTATTATCTGAAAACTCAATTAGGTTTTTACGAGTGCCAACATTTCTGTTTCTTAGATGCAACAGAGTGGCATGATTTGCCATGCGCACTCATAAGGCTGCAGACATCAGTATAAGTTACAAGCAGACCGCCGTAAGGATCTCCGGCCGCGTCTGAAGTGTAAGCAACCCTTTGATTCATTTAAGGGACATGTTGAAAACCGCCCGAGATTTGTTTCTCCAACGCTTTTGCGCTTCTTCATTTCGACGATTACAGCGTTTAATCGTTCTCTGATTCTCAAATTGCTCAGTCTACTCAGGCGGGGTAGTGTCAGTCTCGTGCTGGTATTGCATGTATTGGTGGATCACATTGGTCAACTTTTTCATCGCCTTCTCCAAAACAGGTACTTTGCCTCGTCCTCAGGCCGTCCTCGAGATCTGTCGATTACACTGTAAAACTCGGCATTGTATTTATAGCATACATGAAGGGGTTACATCACTGGACTCAAGCGCGTGAAGGATCATGCGATTGAAATAATCTTGCTCAGCGAAATTGGTTCTGTACGGTGAGGGATATCTTAAGCTTTGCTGAGTTTGACCAGCCGTTGACTTGTGCCGCTCAATTTCTTTTCATTTTTTGTTTTCTTCTTTCCGTTATTTTTACTTAACACCCAGGTTTTCGCTTGCTGAGGCTTCAATGGCCTTGGGACACAACACAGATGAAGTTAGACTACCCGTAAGCACTGACCTCATGCCGATGAGTTGCTAATAGACGGGTGCTTGTGAGCATGCAAAACAGGTTACTCTCTATAGAGCAGTTCAGCCTACGTGCTGCGAAGATTGAATTTTACGAAGAGTGTAGATGGTCATTGAATAATCTGACACATCAAATAGAGCACATAGCACACAAGAATGTATTTCGCGGTGTCAGATAACTTTGGTACACGTACTCCATACATCGCTGTCACTTTCGTTTGTTCAATATCTTACGGGCCTAAGCACCAATATGTTTGTTACAACTTAAACACATATTCATTGATTTTCTGTCGTTATTCTAGAGCCAAACTAAGCAACACATGGTTATGTCCCTCGGGTTTCAAAGTTTGACTTTTTGCTAATTCCGGCACAACTCTTTTTCTGTTCTACCGTAGGTCTCAACGAGGGCCGACTCATTTCTCGTCGGCACCCGATCATTCACAATCATATGGCGTGTCTGTATTGTACCATCTTGATATCCAAAATTTTCCAACCACATTTATCTGGTTGCCTACGCTCAGAGGTGATAAACATTGTTTAGCCACGCGGATGAACTACACCGGAGCTGATTTACCGCGGGTCCCCTAGAAAGCCCCCAGCGAACACAGACGGGTTCACACTCCTCATAAATTTTGTTAAATCATCCTTGCATCTAATTCGAAGGGACTTCCTTCATTCGTCTCAGTTATCTCTCGCCTAAGTCTATGGTTCTTTTACGCCCCAACGATTGGCAGTTTGCCTCCACTAGAAGCAACCACATTACTCTGAATGTTTTCAGTAAACTGGCAGGTGTTTTGCTGACTAACAATGAATACTGACTGGAAGCAGCAAGAGGAGATCTCTCGGTATGGCTGCATCTAAAATTTCTCAGGTACGGTGACCTGTTATTTTGGAGAGCACTTGCACTGTTTCATGTTCGCAAAGTGTTTGTCCAGGAGTTTCTTGAATTCCGACACCGACTTTGCCTCGACTACATGCGACGGCAAGTTGTTCCATTTATTCACTACCTTCCGTTCTAGGCAGAATTTGTGTGCGACCAGCTTCAAATCCGGTACTGCAAGCCTGTACCGGTGTCCTCGTGTGCTGCTTTGTGTGTGTGTGTGTGTGTGTGTGTGTGTGTGTGTGTGTGTGTGTGTGTGTGCATATGAAGCAGTGGACTCAACACGAGTCGACGATAAGACAGGATGTAATGCTCTGGTCTCTTGCATCGATTCCGTGGAGTGCCCGAATTTGAAATCAAGTTTATTTGATTCCACAAACAGATAAAATGGGACCCGCGGTTCGCCTGCTTACAAATGCTTGGAATGAATGATTAGCATGCAACCGAACTTTGTACCGGGGATTCAGATTTAAATAGCTTGGGAAGCACTTTAACCGACCACTTTTGTCGTTTGTTCACTACTGACCGTGAGTGTATTCGTTTCGTTTCCATTTATCAAACACCTGGCATAACATTTGAGTTCCGGACTAAGGGGTAGAGCAGAGCAACTGGGTGGACCCAATTTCTCGAACGATTTGGAGCGCTAGCATCCCAACCTCTCTAGGCCTTGAATGGTGCATCGATCCTGACTCGTCACACATGATTTGCCATGAAACTTGTGAGGACATGTGGAGATTAGTCATGCTCGTCCGACCGTTTCTCCGCATCTCGGTTCGTTCTCTTTAGGAAGATAATGCAACCGATCGATATTCCATGCCAGGAGACCCCGTGTTGAAAACATTTATTTTACCTACGCGACTACGGCAATTTGGCCTACACCATATCTATTCCCTAGCGTTGTATGTAAAGCGAGGCACCATATTGAACAGGCGAAGCCGGTTCAAATCAATAGCTTGCGCTACGTGATTGTATCGCCCCCGCCCCCGATTCAGAGCACTTTCTTAATTTGTTTTTCTTAAAGCAATCATTGATTACCTATAAGAAATTTTGGTGCCACGTGTATTGTGCGCTCTCTTTCGCCGCTCCACTCGTTTTACTTTGCCCTTCACTGTCAACTTAAAAAGTTAATCGTTTTAACGGTCGTCTGCTTTGCCTAAGCCCCTCTATCTCGTTTGTTCGTTAGAAGTGGGCTCAGTGTCCAATTAACTCTTTCACGACGGAGTGTCGTCGCGGACGATGTTACATGAAGAAGACCAGGGAGTATTTTATTGCCAAAAGCCCACAATCTTATTCTCGTAACTTTTTCTTAGACGATTTGGTGAGTTTTCTTCGATGGTTATATGGTCGTTTGGCTACCATGTCTTGTAAATAGCTATTCCAACTTTCCTCCCGCCCTCTCAAAGGCGCCCGTTTATCAAATTTACTTCATCTTCCAGTTCTTTTAGTCGCTACTTTCCTGGTCCCCTTTTTCCGCTGCCTTAGGCGTTGACAATTCTTGACGAATCGGTGAGCGAGCTGCAAATCCGGTACTCCAAACTGCCAGTTCCCAAATGGGCTGAAGAGTTGTTGGCGAAGGAACGTGGTCGTATGTCACAACACCCCACTCGGGTATCGGTTGAACGCCCGATTAAAATGCCACTAACGAACGGAGCGGTTCCAAAGCGAATGCTCGCCTCCACAGAGGATACAAATGGATCATTCAAGAAGCGACAATAATGTCCCCCAGTGGTGTGTCTATCGTGAGTCTTTCTGGCCCTCACACAGTTAAACCTTTTACTTAGCTTGTATTAGAGTCTTCGTTTTCATCTTCTCTTTAAACCGGCCCGTGGCCTTAAGGATCACAAGTCTGCCTTGTACTCTGAGGTCGCGGGTTCTCGCCCGTTTAGGGGACCGGGCGACTCTCGCAGTATTCTTGGCCCACGCGCGACTGATGGTCGTTGCGCGACAGCGAAGCGACGGTACTGAGTACTGGCGTACGGCTGATATCTTTTTTTATTTTCCAAGTATTGTACACCTGTTCATCTCCATGCCATTGCCTGAATAGATGTACGTGTTCGCAAGGACAGGTGGTACACACATTTTACTGCACAACCAGCTGACACACGTTTAAAAGCTACACAGAGTAAGGCGCCGGTGTAAATTAAGCAATGCGGATCAACACAACTAAGCCCACTATCGTTTACCTTTATCAAACCGACAACTGCGAGAATTTGCTCTCCGTCTGTAGTGATGGTGGCAATCGTTTGAATTTTGCGCCATTCTCCCAAGTTACGCTTCAACACACGGCTCACTTTTGGCGCTTGCGAGTGGATGAAGACACTCGAACAACGGACAGTCCTTTCCCGTTGACAATCTGGTATACTTTACATGCACTTGGCAGGCAGTCAGTTACTGGAACATTCATTATCTCCGGTGTATAAGCCACATGTGATTGAAAAGGGTCATTCGCTTCCATGCTTACTCATCGTGGATGGTTTGAATAGTATCTCTCCATTACCAGAAACTGTTTCGTTTGTGTTGATCTCTCTCTCCCATTACTCTTTGCACCTGCCTTGGGATCCCTACATTTCGGCTACCTGTACATCTTGCTTCCATTGCACTCGATTCATGTCTTCACTACCCTCCTGGAATAGCAACGTGGCTGCCCTGACTTCAGGCGCGTGGCACAGTCACGGACTCACGCATCCTGGGATGAAAGATCTAATATTGGCAATAAGAAAGTTAAATCCCCCCATACCCCACCTTGATCACTCCGTACATATTCGCTACCATGTCTGGGTCAAGTGTGAAGCGTAATGTGACTCTGTCTTGAACTATTATCGCGGGAATGGAGACCCATGTGATATCATGCTATGATGCCAACAGGATTATCTGTTCGACCAATGATGTGTACTATCGCTCAATTTAGTGTGTTGCTACGTGCGAAATGCCATGGCTAGTACGAGCGAGCGAGAGAGCCGAGTTAGTTTGGAAACTGAGCACCGGGGAGCGTAACTTCGTTCAAAGGTAGTATCTTTGTGAATATGTCTACCTTGCTCGAGAATTACCATGGGATTGGATGAACCCTTTGTTCAACGGCCATTGGTATACCTTCCGACTTCAGTGGCTTGTCCTCTTCGTTACGTCGGCGTTGTGTCATTTTTCAGCCAGTGTGGCGAGGCGGAGCGATTTGGCCTGTCAGCTCCAGATGAGCTTTCGAGGGTTAAACATTAGGGTTACACCTTCCACTTTCTCTAAATGGTAAAATAGTTCAATCAAGGAACACGTCTTTTTAGCCGAACCAAATGATGCACTGACATCCTGCGTTGCGGCCGTGTTCAGTACCATGTGCACGTTCAATGGTACACTTTCAAAGGGAATCGATGCAAAACGCGCTGTTCGGTAGGACTCAAGTGGAAAGATCGTACACCTGCGTTACATGTAGTTTGTCTTTGATGCGGGGCTGCAGTAGCATCGCTTTCTCTCCCAGGTGCTACATCACAGCTGGACTTTGTTATGGTTAATTTATGCTACTTGTCCATTGTCATGTAACAGGGATCCAACTTGAGGATCTATCACGAGTCCTAAAACTGACAAAGTCAATGCATAGCTTGGAATCAGCTCCGTTGCAAGTCACCAAGGCAATATAACCAACCGATCCCTGTAGACCACTTCGCTGTGCGATCCCCTAACCAACCCGACACCAGATACAATGAACAAACCACGCTGTGCTAGTCATCTTGATACTGAAGGCATGCATGCTTCCTAGATGTGACTACTACTCTATTTCAGTTTTTCCAGTGGTCGTGTAATTGATTGTATCGTTGCGTAGCCAGACGGAGTGCTCCTGAAGCACATTGGTCACCCTTTCTCCCGAGCCACAGCAGTGCTTCCTGATTCGAGTCCAGTACAGCCAAGCGCTATGCGCATCCGCGCTAACCTCGTGTGGATAGCAAGAAGCATCTTCAACCAATGATGCAATCGCAACAAGTAGGATGGAAAATGTATGCGCTTGTTTCTGGAGCAAACGTTGTGCAGTAAGGTGATGGATTTCAGTGAACGCAAGACTGATCGTGACAAATCCTATAAGATAAAATACGAAACCACTGAATGTTCGGACAAAGTTTTAATCTGCGTGTATAAAAAGAACGGAAAAGTGTTGTTAGTTTAAAGTGTGAGAATGAAAGTGATCGTCCAGCGTATTGGTAGCAAGTAAAAACGTGGACCAGCGTTGGTGTGCATGAAGGGTGAACTGAGGATGTTTAAGAAAAGCGGTTTCATTTGTGTGGGCAAGCTGGCATAGACAATCTGTCGCATGCTGTCTATCACAGTGCTACCTAGTATTATCAGCTCTGGCTTCCATAGTGACAGTCTTCATTTCCGAGAGACTCCATTCGTCCACTAATACCTTGGTGATCCATCTGAACTCAGTCGGAATCCAAAAGCGGATTGACCTGTATTACGACAGACGGCCAAGCGTAATACATGCAAGTCAAGTCTTGTGGCCAGGATGATATGTGAGCGCGGACATATATCGCAGTAGCGATTTAATATGGTTAAGGCTGATGGTTGAACTATTGGGCAGGGCGGGGTTTCATGTGTGCTTAAGATAAACAGAATGATAGCCGCTTCACCCTAACTCTATTGCCTGGGCTCACCACGAGGTGAGTCGTTGGTTTTCGCTGTCCAAATTTATCATAGTTTGACTCGCACCCGCAAGTAACCGCTTCCGCGGAGATACGCATTTCAGTGTCATTTCGTGACGTTACTTTACCACAGAACTATAATTATCTGGACGCTGTAGCGTGTTATAAATGGCAGTTGCCACGCGACTGCTCGTGCATGCGTCAACATCATCCTGGGCTTGTTTTTCTTTGTTGACACGCGTTTGTGTTTGGCCTGTCTTCTCTGAATACTTTGACCTGTGGCTAGCTAGTGATCTCTAATTGTCAACTGAGAGAAGCGGATTGATCGATTTGTGAGGTGGCGTGATGTTTCGTACGTACCGCATCAAGTCATTCTTAGCGTCACCTTGATTTGTGTCAACACGCAACCGGCGGAGTCCTGTGCAACATCACCAGCAAACACCGGTCCCGTTTATACCGGAACCGCACAATACGAACTTGACAATGTTATTAAGCTCAATCCCGATACGGTGTGCGTGGGGGTATGACATGTCACTTTTAGATATTAACGTGATTCTCACATGATTTCCTAAGGGTTATCAATTGGTTCGAAAGGCTGTGAAAGAAATTCTGCTTTTTGGCAAACTTTTATGGTTAGCAACTAAACACCGGAATTTTTCTCTGTCGAACGCATACACTATGACGAAGGAACAATACTTGTTCCGGTTTGCCTGGGGCACTGCATATCGTCCATTTGCCACAAAATATGGGGGAGCTTAAACTTGTCGTATCTTTTCTTCGAACGCCGACAAATGGACCTTCAGTCTAATAACTTGTTATTACAGCTTGTTCGGAGTTTAGTGAATCATCATACTCATCAATACATGTTAGCTGAGGATGAGAAACACGCCTCAGCTAATGTTCCACAATACAAAAACAAAAAGATAATAAAAATAACACTACAAATTATTCGAAAATCAAGTACTATAATGTTAGATATCATATTATTAATTTCCTATGAAATCGTAATTGGCGGATCAATCTAAAGGAGAGCGGGTAGGCAAAGAAACTCACAACTCAGACGCCATTGGGACCGACTCCTAGCCATGTCAGCAAGTGCGTCCAACCAAACGTGTTCATCGTCCTTCGGACCACAGCGCGGCACTCGGGATACACCAACCGACACCAACTTCGAACTGAGGGTCTTCATTCTTGACCAAGTCATTTCTTGCCCTCTCCTCCTCTTCCACGTCGCGGGAGTCGGTGGGATATCATACGCTACACGTGGCTCAGCCATCGGAGCCTGGTGCATGATACTATGGTGCTAAGCGAAGTGCTTGCTCCTTCTACAACAAATACACGAATGCACTCGTTTAGAAGCTCATTATGTGAACGTACATCATTGCAATAGACATTTGGACCGAATTCCTTCTAATTTGTTATAGTTCTAAAATAGCCCACACTATTTAGAAGTTTATGATGAGGATTCCTCTATAGGAGGGGTCATTTTAAAGCTTCCGTTGTTTAACTGGATTGCGACATTCAGTCTCAATCTGAACCTTGATACACTTTGAAGCGAATCTTGGTCAGAAGGTAGTCCCTGCTTTCCTGATGCGAATCGCATTGCTGCTATTTCTATCAGGCGAAGGCAGGTTGGCATGAATTCGGCTGTGGCATGTAGCATTTGTGCTGAGGAATTTGATCCATCAAAGTCGCTTCATTCCCACATAACTCCACCACTCCAAATTCCATATATGTTTCGCAGCAAGGTGCATATGTACATTAGTGACTGCACATACTTCGCCGGGTAAATTGCATGATAGTGCCACGCTCTTATGCGACCAAACAACTGACACCCTGTCCGTTATAACACTGCTGTCACTGCAGTACCGCAGTCATTACACAGCACTAGCTAGACAGTACTTGTCGGTGAAATGACGACGATTTTGTTTCTGGGGTGAAACGCAGACGCAACGAAAGCATTTACCAAGCCGATTTGTATTCTTCGACCTACCCATATTGTCGGCTGCCAGTCACAAATGGCTTCCGAGGGGACTGCTATCGAGCGGTTCAGCTGAGCAACGATGATGTAAAGCTGTACGAATGACAGTG